ATAAATGAACCCAGGGCCTCACACGAGCCAGGCAAATGCACTACTGCTGAGCCCAGCCCCCTGATTGTGTTAKTTCTTTAATCTTCTTATCCCAGTTAGCAGGAAAAATTGAATACAGATAAAGCAGAAGGGTTGAAAGTGTTGGAGCATATTATTATTACTCAATAATAAACAGCGGGAAAACCTCTGGAAATAAAACCAATCTTCAGTGTTCTTCTAGAAACCACTGGTCAGCCTACTTGGCTGTTTTTTAAGAATCCCMAAGCCAAGAGCATTCACGCATGCTTGGTAATTCTTGTTTAAAAGCACAATTCAAGAAATGTCCAGTGTACACTGTGTCTGTGCAATCCTTACATTAATAACTTCCCTTACTGTAAAAGCAACTTCTATTTTTAATCAAATGTTGAGGTTGCATGTTTGATTGGCCCGACTTGGGAGCTTAGTGGGCTCACAGTGAGGAACGGCTTGGAGTATATTAACAGAGATGTATCACATTGGCAGACCCACCGAGTATTTTTAGTGCTGAAGTTGAGGTAGATGTGTTGTATCTGCTGTTTTTCCCTGAAAAGCTTGTCTGCCTTGTCAATTGAGCAGCTGTGACTGGGGATGTTTTGTAGTGAGCTCATCAATTAATCATTTTAAGTTCAGTGCATGCCACAGTAACCTTTTTGATCAGTTTTCTCTTTCTTTGTTTTTCTTTTTCTTTTTTCTTTTTTTTTTGGAGAGGAAAATGTAAAGTGGTTTTGGTAAAAATAAAATGGCTAAGTAGCTCCCTGAAGTTGATTTTTATGAATGCCACTCTCTGATTTTAATCCATCACAGTTTTCCAAGTCCCACGAGAAGGTTGAAAAGGCCCTCAGTGCCGGGGACCCCTCCAAAGGTGGCTACGTCTCTCTGAATTACCTAAAGGTCGTCCTTGACACCTTTGTGTACTGGTTACCAAGAAGAATTTTCCTCCAGCTAATGAAAAGGTAAGAGTTCTGTTGTTTCCTTGACAGTTTCTTCCCCCAGACGTCAACTGTGAGAATAAGGAAGAGCTTCATTTATTTTTTATTAGTGTTTTAGGCTTTTTATTATTGAAAATTTCAGACACATACACAAGTAAAGAGAATAATGTAAGGAATCCACCCGCAGACCCATCCCCAGCTTCGACAGTTACTGGGTCCTGGCCTGTCACTTCACCGTGTCCCTGCTTATTGTCTCCAGTCTCAGATGTTTCTGAAGCAAACATCAGATATCATATTTCCATATGTGACTCAAAAGATRTGAGTTCTTTGTAAAACCAGGGCAGAATCCTACTCTCATATCCAGTGGAATTAGCACTGCTCYCAGAAACCCCGGGTTCAGTGTGACCGCCTGTCCTGTGCTCGCTCCTACAGCTCATGCCAGCACATTGCCACTGGCCCATCCACCACRGTCCTCTTGTAACCTCTAGGCCTCCCTCCTCTCCGGTCATTTTAGAAGTAGTCTGGATTGTTCATAATCTGGGTGTAAGGAAAGGGGTTGACTGTTGCAACCCATGGTGACGTTTCATGTACTCCTGTCCCTTTCCCCCAATACCTGCCCTGAGGCTGTCCATCTGCAGCCCAGGTCTGTGTTTGTGCTTTCTGCCTTGGGCAGGAATACCTTGGAKCTGATGGCAAGCTGGTATTGACTGATTGTTTCTTTCTGTAATACCAGCAGCTGTTATGGTTGAGACATGTCCTCCAAAAGCTCATGTGCGAGACAGCACCAGAATTTTCACAGGTGAATTGGTTATGTGAGCCTTAACCTGATTAGTGGATTAATCCACGGATACAGATGAAGAAGGCAGTAACAGTAGGCAGGTGGRGTGTGGCTGGAGGAGGTGGGTCACTGGAGGGTGCCGCTGGGGTTTATATTTTGTCCCCGTTGCCSTGTCCTGAGCTGATTTTYTTCTGCCATGAGGCTTTGCCTCACCTTGGSCCCAGAGCAATGGAGTYGTCTGTCAGTGGACGGAGACGTCTGAAACTGTGAACCAAATAAACTTTCCTCCTCTAGGTTGTTCTTCTCAGKTCTTTTGAAATGAAAAACTGACTAAAATAGCAGCCACTGTCGATGGTCCATCTTACCTGGGACCACAGCAGTTGTACCTAGTGACTGTGAAGTGGAATTGTTCTGTGTCTATCGTTTCTTCTGTCATTAGTTGAAACACTTCTGTGATGAAATCGTCTCTTCTCCAACCACGTGACAACCACCAAGCACAGTTGGCATGAGAAGGGCGGCTGTCCTTGGTCCTGTCCCTTCAGTGGCTGCTTTTTAGCATCATCGCTGGCTCCCAGCGTCCTCTGGAATGAGCAGTGGGTACTGATTCATCATAATCATTATGAGATCATGAATYTGAGCATATTTGATGGGTTTCAGTTCATTACAAGTTATTCTTACTGATACTCGGTTGCCCTGTCTTTGCAGGGGGGCTTTTTCATGTTGGTTTCTGAGTCCTGATGATGGACCCTAATAGTCTTGGATAGCTCTCTTGCTTTCTGGAGAGACAGCAATGCTCCAGGTTCTCTTGTACATCTCTTGCTGTACACCTGGAATCAGCCWWTTTCCAAGGGTCCCTGGTTCCTTTCAGTTGGTAATCAAATGTTGAGCTTGTGTGTTTGATTGGCYTGACCCAAGTCCACGTGGGGAATACTCCAGTTTACCTGGTTGTCTGTCCAGGGAGACAGGGAAACTTCTCTCAGGGGAAGTAGGGCAGAAGCTAATGGAAAGCTTGTCCTGTGTAGCCCTGGGCAAGGGTGGATTCCTTGGGGTTACCTAGGAAAGAAAGRCCTGTGGGCAGGGGAGGAAAACAGCATTAAGCAGGCAGCGGGTCCACTCTGAGAACACTGGGCCTCCGGGTTGGCACCCTGCATRTCCAACACTGTGACTTCTAGAGCGAAAAGCACAGTTCAGTTTTAGGATTAAACATTCCCATGTCCAGTTAGCAAATGAAGATTTTCAAAAATTACTCTCTTGGATAGCTAAAAGTCATAAAGACATTTCTTCTTATTTCATTTTCAATATGCAAATAATAATTTAATAGTAATAATAAAATTAAAAACAAAAACCATCCACCTTAATAGCAAACTATTTTGGTTATTCTGCATTTTCTTTCATCATTTTTTAACCATGTACATAAATAATTTTCACATATTTGTAATCAAGGTACACTTACAGTTTTTACATTGTGCTTTTAAAAATAAAAAACAGAAATTTTTTAAAAACAGACATTTTTCATATGGCTTTATGGTCTTCAGAGTTATAATTTTAATAGAAATATATAAAATTTCATTCATCTATCATTTACTGAGTCTATTTATGGTAGTTGCAAAAAATGCAGAAATAAATGACAAACAGTTCTGCGCCAGAGTGACTTACCAGAGTGACAGATATGATGGGTGTGGAGAGCAAGTACACGGGGCTCACAGTGGCCCTGCTGTTGCCCATGGCCCTCCGAGTCCCTTTTTTGCATCTACCCAGAATTCCCAATGGAACCAGGTTCCACCMTGCRGCCAGCGCAATGGTTTCATTAATGAGGTTCTTGGCATAAAAGTTAGTTAGCGAGATCGAAATAAAACACACAGACTCAGTTACCTTATTTCTATTGCCAGGTCCGAGACGGCTCCCCTCTCTGGTTTCCTCCTCTAACCGCCCGGCAGGGCAGCAAGGATTACTCAGGGCTAGCAGGAGAGAGAGAGAGCGAACAGCCTGGGAGTAGCTTTTTATTGGGGAACAAGAGATTCAGGGGAGAATTCCATCCAATGAAGGTTGAAGGGGGGGCCGCACTCCAAGGTCAGGGTCAGTGATTGGGCCCCGGGGTCAGTGGTCAGTCACACCCCCACACAGATGGGTTCTCTCATCAGGAGAGGCGGGGAAAGTTCCGACACAGCCAGAGCACCTCAGACCCTTAACGGGAGCCGCCCAGTCACGTGTCAGAATGGCTTCCCACAGTCAGGCACAAGAAACAACTGCAGAGTAGACACCYAGGTGTCACTGTGAATTACGTACTGCTTGAGCATATGATCCAAAAATCCAAATTCTGAAATGCTCTAAAATCCAAAGCCTGTTGAGTGCTGACATGACAACGAGTYAAGTCAAGCACAGACGTGCTGAGGATGTTGTAAAAGGCACGCAGGAGGCGTTCACGGACATTGTGTTAGACCTGGGTCCTCCCTAGTCTCTCATCATGTATGTGTGCAAATGTTCCAGAATGTGAAACCCATGATCTGGAATCGTTCTGGAGTCAAGCATTGCAGGTACCCAGTCCTCAACCTGACCATCTACCTGCCTCTTTGTGCACTTACCTGGCACCATGTCGTTGTCATTGGGGTCTCTAGGTGGTTTTAGTTTTGCAGGTTCTTGTTCAGTTGACCAGCACAATTCCTGAGTGCTCACTGTACACCAGGGAGTGTGCTGCACTCTGAGGCTCCGTGAGGAATAAGAAAAACGTGCTCCTAAAGAGCTTTGCCTGCCGTGGGGGGACCTGCTGTAAGTAAGCATGTAAATAATGGCGTGAAGCATGCACGGGGATSGGGCTCGGGAGAATCCGTGGGATCCACGACGGACACCCACAGGAAGTGCTTCAGACGGCGTGGTCTGAGGAGGCCTCCAGGAAAAATGGGGCTTCAGGAGAAGCCGTCACCGGAAGCTCCGTGGGAGCAGCCCCAGCAACGGGCCACTGGCTCTAAGGACAAGCCCACAGGTGGCATTCTGGGGCTTGGCTCCAAAAGGCACAAGGTTCAGGTGCAGAGCAGGCGGGGTCCTGGTGAGGAGCCCTGGGGTCCCCGCCCCTGCCACGGAGCGGTCCAGGCACTTCCCTTTGGAGGGTCCTTTTTCTTCAGACTGTATTTCCATGCTGCGTACTTCTGAATATTTTTTCTATTTTTAAATTTTATTTTTCATTGTAAAGTTAACACATTATAGTTGTATGTATTTATGGAGTACAGAGCAGTGTTGTGATTTGTGCATACAATGTGGAATAATTAAGTCAAGGTAATTAGCATATCCATCTCCAAAATACTGAACATCTCTGTAATGGGATATTTGAGATGTACTCCCAGTGACTTTGGAATGTGTTACTGTACTCTAATATCTAATCTATTTGGCATGCTATGCGATCTCTCTCAAAGCTAAAATCTGCTGATTATTTCTGCTAATTGAGCACTTCTGTTCCCCTCCCCGCAGTCTCTGGTAACATCATTTGACTCTGTGCTCTGGTGAGGTGACTGTTTTAGCCTCCATTTGCAAGGAGAAGCTGTGGTACTTGTCTTCCTGTGCCTGGCTTATTTCTCTAAGCATAATGTTCTCCAGTCCCATCCACATTGTCATGAATGAMATGATTTCCTTCCTTTTAAAGGCYCAGTAGTATCCCATGTGTGCTATGGCTTGGTTTCTTTATCCATCCTCCCTTGGTGGRTACATGGGGATTCCATAACCTGGCTACTGTGAACAGTGCTGCACTGAACACTTGATGTAAAYAAACACCAAAATGCACGTTTGACGTAGATGAACATCTTCAAGAAATCGACCTCACATTCTGGGGGGTAAATACCCAGAGGCAAGGTTGCTGGATCACAGGGCGAGTCGATCTTCAGTGTCGTTTTCCGCATGGCTGGACTCCTTCACCTCGCCGCCCGGGTGCACGGGCTCCCCTTCTTCACCTGCGCACCACAGCTGTAGGCACAGGCCGAGGAGATCCGCGTGGGAAGCTCACGAGCTGCATTCCCAGGAGCCGCTCTGAGGTGTGGGTGGGATGGTGGCGTCCAACGTTTCGTACATCTTAGCCCCTGTGTGTCTTTTGAGAAAAGTCTGTTCAGTCCCTTGACATTTTTGATCAGATTATTTTCTTTCTCCAGAGTGGCCTGAGGACCTCGTGTACTTGGCTATTAATCCCTTAACAGTACACGGTGTGCAGATACTGACTCCCAGTCTGTGGGTCGTCTCTTCACACTGTTGATCGTTTTCTTTG